CGCCGCCACGCTTCCCAAGCGGCGCACTTATCCAGTGCGCCACCGGGCCGGCCCAGATACCCGTATTTTATCAATATCTCTGCTGTGCCACCTACAGTATTGATTTTATGCTGAAGCTGTCATCCTTTGTGGTCACAAGAAGGCTGTTGGGGGACTTGGTGCTATACACCTTCAGATCTAGGCAGAAAGAAAGAGTTCCTTTCTCATAATTACTGAATAAGATCTTTCTCTTTAATATGATTGGTCAGCTTAGGTCTTGGCCTACCTTTGAACCAACAGTTGTTACTATGAAATTGCTAAACTTTCATGCTGAGTCTCTGAAGTAATCCTTACCTGCCTCCCACCCCCAGCAAAACAACAACAGCAACAACAACAAATAATTAATATGATTGGATTAGGCTATTTTGAGCTGAATGAATATTGAGGATCAATATGTACCTCTACCACATAAAATAATTTTAAAAATAATTATTCACAGTTTATTTAATATATAATCATGCATGTTCTATATAAGGAGAATGGTTTCTGCAATAAAAAAGAACATTTTTGACAACCCGTTTCATTGTAGGCTGCTCTAAATGTTGTCAGAGAGTTCTCTCTTTATTGAATAGCAGTTTCTCCTTGTAACATCCAGTGCTCCTATTTGGCTTAGTTAATTCTGGAGTGGATGCTATAATTGTTTTTTCTAACTTCCCAAATTCCCCTTCCAAATATGGTTAGTCATGTTTCATATAGTACTTCTTAAAAATTGTGTATTTCTTCACCATGCAAAAGTAGTATCATGTAGTTCAACTACAAGAACTTGCATTTTCTATGAGATTCACATTGTGCTCTGCCTAAGGTTTATAGATTTATAATTATAATTATACAGGTAAAAATCTCTTTTAAAACAACTTTACATGAGAAATGAAAGCAAATACTAAAATAGAAAAATATTTTAAAGTCATCGATCCAAGTAAACCATTTAAAACAGAGTTGGATACCTTCTTTCATCCTTTCCCAAACTCTCTGTTTTTTCTTATCTATTCTAATCTTATTCTATTCATGAATTTGACATGAATTCAGTTAAAATTTACTGAAGAATTAGAGTAGGGATCAGGAAGATAAAAGATGAATAAGATAGTGTTCTTATATTAGGAAAGAAAGATATGTGAATAACTAATGCAAGGAAAGGGACTAAGTACTATTTAGAGGTAAAGATAGAATGCTATTGAAGAGAATGTTCATTTTACAATGAGTAGGATTTTTTATTAGGCCAATAAGAAGACATAATTCAGAAACGTAGCTCCTAAAGATCAGTTTTAGAATTAAAACTACTATGCAACAACATTAATTAGTATGTAAAAAGAACAGACGCAATTTTTTTTAGTAATGTGGAATACCTTATATGATACTTCTAGCACACCTTTTAATATCATGGAGCAAGTTCAAAACTTGTTTGAGAGTTACGAATTACTTCCTCAAGTGAGTATGTTCATAATAGTCAACCTTATTTTATATTGCAGTTCAGTGTTCTTTAAAGCACGTGACAAATAATTTAAAGTTTGATCTCTGAGAATGTTTATTGAGTAATAGGATCTGACTGTGTTGTATCTCAGAGTTTTGAGCATAAAAGTAGAATGTATCAGATCATATTCTTGAAATCATTACTACTGAATAAAAATAGAATATATAAGATAAGGTATGTGAAATTATAAATGAAAAGGAGCTGACTGAAGTTTTAAATCAATCTGTTATTTTAATTTTATTCTTTTTTTATACTTTTTTATTGATTATATATATTTGTGGGGTACACAATCAAATATCAATACATATTTGTACTGATGATCAAATCAGGATAATTAATATACTCATGTTTATAAAACGTAATCAATCTTTGTGACCCTTAACTAATTTCTGGCCCCCCCCCCTTTCCCACCTCTAATAACCACAGTTCTGTAGTTCTGTTCTCTCCTATTCCTCCATCTGTGAATAGAACGTTTTAGAATTTAAAGTATTGTATTTATTGAAGTTCCTTTAAATAGGAGTGCCCAATCTTTACTTTTTTTATTCAATTTTTTTTTGTCCTCCCTCCCCCTTTGATAACCCAGCTATTTGTTAGGATTATTTCCTTCATCTTTTAGTGGAATTTTCATGTAAATTTATGCTCTAAGGTTTGGTTTGATTTTTGTAGGATATTGCTTTTCTAAGCACTAGTGATATCTTTTGTATAACACACATTCCTGTTAATATAAAATCATTGTTAGCCTAAGTTGATTCATACCAATAAATGCCACCTTCTCAGTAAAACCTTTTAACCACTGTCCACAAATTTCCTATCTGCTCCATGTTTTTTTCCATGCATTTATTAACATAAAACGTATGACCTTCTTTACCTTTTTATTTTTCTTACTATGTCTCTGCCTTCTCCTCCCTTAAAATAACTGAAGGCAGAATTCAGTTTTGTTAACTCCTTTTTCCACCGTTCTAAGGAGAGAGCCTGGTGAATAGTGTGTACTCAACATGTCTGTTTTCTAAATGACTAAATGAAAAGTCTTGAGCTTTACCTTTAAGGTAAAGGAAATGGATGCAAGGCTTTTACGGGTTGAGGGCCATGGTGGAAAAAGCAAGTGAAGCAAACTAGTGTCATGTGGGTGAAGTTGGCCCAAGGAAATATTTTGTGTGGTTCAACAAAAAGTTTTTTAGTTTTGAATTTTATTTCCTTTGGGTACCTGGGGTAGCCCTCACCACTCTTTATTGTCTCCTACCCTAATTCAGACATCATTGTTAACTACGTGCAATCATTTGAGTTTGTGACCCCTTAATGTAGAAGTATGACATGCTAGATCAAAGTTATTGAGTTACCCTTGTTATGAGCATGAGGAATGTGGATAAATCATGTGGAAGATAAAATTGGTAAGAGTCTACAATGTTAGTCCTTTGTAGATCTTGGTTATTCTATACTGATATTTGGACTTCAGTCAGTAGAGAATGGGGAGAAAGGTGCAATGTGATATGCTTTAGGGTTGAGTGGTAGGTGATTCTTTACCCTATGACTGGGAGGATGGTGATACTACAAAAAGTTTCACTAGATGAAGAAGAAAAGATTTGTGTAGGAAGATATACTTTTTGTGACATTTGAGTGTGAATTATCAGCTTTTATGAAGAGCATTTTCTCTTTGTTATAACATTTTAGTCTGAGGATTGTCCAATTAAAGTATGATGCAAGCTTCATATGCAATTTAAAATTTTCTAGTAAAAGGTTACAAGTGAAATTGATTTTATTAATATATTTTATTTAACCTAGTATATCTAAAATATCATCACTTCAGCATATGTTCAATAAAATAAGATTTTTACATTCTTTTTTTCATTTTGAGCTATCAAAATCCAGTCTGTACATATTTACAGCTACCTTTCACGTGCTTAGTTGCCACACGGGGCCAGTGGCTATTGTATTGGGAAGCACAGCTTTAAGGTTTAATTTGAATTTTGGAGGGTGTATTGTTTATCTAAATACCATTGGTGATAGGTTATACATTGGTAATGGCAGTTGAAAATTCCTCATGGAAGTACTCAGCATAGAGGTAGTATTATATGAAGCTGTGGAAGCATAGGGTATCATCCAAGGAGAGTATATTTATGGAAAAGAGAAGGCCAAGGAAATAATATTTTAAGCAAAGGACACTGAATAGTCTGAGGATCATGAAATCTAAATGAGTGTATCTAGGAGAGTCAGCTCCTCTTTTTCAGAAACTATGGATAGGTCAGAAAGGTGTATGCTAAGCAAGATGCATTGCGTTTGTCGATGTCGAATTCATTTTTCATTTTTTGAAGAAAAGATTCAGTGGAATGGTAGGGTCAATTTATTTTTACTTTGGTTGGCGCTTGTTTAAGTGAAAGCACTTCTCTTTCCTAATGTCTTTTTAAATTTTTTTGTATTATCATAATAGTTATTTCACCTTATTTTAATTTCTATGTCTAACCGCTCTTCTTTGTCAGTATCTACAAAAATGGAATGAAACCCTTCTTACTCATAACTTATTTTATTTCTTTAGGTTGAGCTAATAGTGGCATGATTTTGCCTGAGTTATTTGTCTGTAAGTGTCCTGAACAGGGCTTCAGATAACAAGCTATCACATAAAAAAATCCTAAAATTTTAGGTTTCTTAATATAATTAAATTTTTAATAGCAAAAGAAATATAAAATTTTGTATTTTATGTTTAAGGTATTAGGGATAGTATATGAAAAATGTATATGTACTTGTGAGAAATTTATATGTAACTTGTGAGAGATTATACATTTTTATATTCTGGATCTTTTTAGCTAGAATTTGTTTTCTTCTTTTAGTCATCACGAGTTCATATAACTAGAGCTGTCTTGGAGCAATTTTTATCCTTTGCAAAATACCTTGATGGTTTATCTCATGGAGCACCTTTGCTAAAGCAGCTTTGTGATCACATTTTATTCAACCCAGCCATCTGGATACATACACCTGCAAAGGTATGAATTTTATCTTCATTCATTTTATTTTAATGTGATGTTATAAATCATAGTTACTGGATCTAAAGTATCCCATAGAAAACATCTTAATTTTTCAGCTTATTTTGCAGTTAATCTAAGGCAATTTTGTTAGGCAGTATCAGAGATCAAAATATTAAATACATAAGTAATAAAATAAATGAAACTATGATTAAAAATTAAGCTTGGTGTAACGCCGCATTCTGACATCATTAGATGTGATTCATGATTCATGCCTTTCCAAGGAAGAGAATTTGGTACACTAGTTATTGAAAGACTAGGAAAGGAAAACAGAAAACTAATTGTATTATGACCACTGTGATCATTTTTTTTTTCCTTTTTGTCTTTTTTACTGACCGGTAACGGGATCGCAACCCTTGGTGTTGCATCCGCATCACGCTCAGCCAGTGAGCGGGAACCGGTCTCCACATGGGATCCGAACCCTCGGCTGGAGCGCCGCTGCACTCCTAAGCGGCGCACTCTCCAGTGCGCCACCGGGCCGGCCCCACTGTGATCATTTTGACTGGAAAAATTTCTTTCATTTTGAACGCAGAATTTATATCATGACATGTAAATAATAATTGTTTTAAAATAAATATATACATAAAATAAATATTTTTCTAGATATTAACATAAAATTTCTATTATTTTGCATACCCAAATTTAGTCCTATTATATCCTAGTGGAAGTCAATAATGAGGGGTATTTTGATTTTGAGCTGTCTTTTACAGTTTTAAAATCTCCCTCTTACCTCGTTAGATAGTGTTTAAGTTCTGATTTTTATTATGGTTCAACATTAATTATTGGACTAACCCCAAACCTGAAGTTTGTTCCCTCTTTTAAACCAGAACTTGCCATCTCTGTGCTCACATAGTCAGATCCTTAAAGCCAACTGTATACTCATGACAATAGGTGAAGAAAATTTGAAATTAGTACATGAACTTTTAGGATATATGACAACACTATATATATATTTTAGATATGCTATAGCTGACTTGTTAGTTCTGTTTCTGTGATGAAATACATAGACTGTTAGCTACTGAAATTAACTTTGCTTAAGAGTTTTAGTCTACTTGACTTTTAAAATAATTCGATTTTCCTGTCAGATTAATTTTACTTATTGAATCACTTTAGCTACTAGATTACCTTTATTAAAATAGGTTTAATTAGAATGTGTTGATTATAGATTATTTTCTTTTTAAAATATAAATTATATTTAAATAAACGTTATCTTTGACTTCATAATAAATGGTCATTTCTTGGTCTTTACCAATTTGCATTTAAATTAGAATAGCATGTATACTGATTTTTCTTTGGCCTGGGCTCTGTGCTCCGGCCTCACATCCTTCCTCTCTAGCTCTTTGCTTTTCCAGAATCAGCTACTCACTTTAGTTACAAAGAACAAGTTGCAGCTCATGCAACCCTGGAAGTTTGGGTGGTGGTTTTGTTTCTTAGGGATGAAGGAGAGATGCAACAAAGGAAGTAGGGAAACAATAAAAACATTAAGCACCTGGGGGGGGAAAAACAATAGAACGTATACTTATAATATGAGCACTTGAGACATTTTAAATTTATTTTAATAATTGGTTAATATTCCATATTAGGTTCAACTTTCCCTATATACTTATTTGTCTGCTGAATTTATTGGAACTGCTACCATCTACACTACCATACGCAGGGTAGGAACAGTATTACAGCTAATGCACACGTTAAAATATTACTACTGGGTCATGAATCCTGCCGACAGTAGTGGCATTACGCCTAAAGGATTAGGTAGGTACAATACTCATACTATTTTTACACTTTCCTATGATTGTTCTGTATCCTGAGTACTGTTATAGAGAACGTGTGTGCATGACTATGAAATTATCACTGAACTATTTTCTTTCTTATGTTGTAGACTTTTATATTGAGAATTATTTGTGGTAAAGAAGTTTATAGATTTGTAGTATTAAATTATTTTGGAGTAAAGGCAGGTAAAAATTAATTGTCTTCATATTAGTCTATATACTTTTTTGGTTTCAGGAAGGTGCTTTCATAATACTAAAAACATGAATGGTATTGGTTACAACTGGTGTGTTCTAGTACAGTTGCTTTCAACATTTTCAGATGATTACCTTTGTATTTTTATTCCAAATTCATCCTTTGTTCTGAGTGTAGTAGAAATTAACTTAATTCTTTACTGTTTTATCTTTCTTGTTTAAAAAAAAGTCCAGTTTTTAAAATTATACAAAAAATTACATACTTACAGAAAATAAAATGGTAAAGAAGAAAAAGTATTTTATGACCCGAATCCCAGGAATAATTACTTTTACAACTTTGGCATGTTTTCCTCCACTGTTTCTTATTGCACAAATATGTGAAGATATTTAACCTTTTTTACAGAATTTAGATTTTCTTGATCTCTTGGCTTTTTTCCCCCCTCAGTTCTACATCCTAATCTAAGAGAATATATTATTTACATTGTTTCTAAATTTTATTTCTGTAAATAATAGGGTGATCTACTCCTTTATTATCATTTACCTCCATCTTTGATTTCTTTAGAGAAAGGGGCTAATGACAAATAAGCCCGTGACAAATATTTACAATTTTTTTCAGAAATGCACCAGTTACAATTTCAACAATCATGTGTTAGAGTGCTATAATCAGCATGCTCACAATAGCATTGAGTATTGTGACAAATATTTACAATTTTTTTCAGAAATGCACCAGTTGCAATTTCAACAATCATGTGTTAGAGTGCTATAATCAGCATGCTCACAATAGCATTGAGTATTATAGTTTGATAACAATCTTTTTGATAAGGGAAAATAGCATTTCGCTATTTTAATATTTATATAGGATTACTTTTATGTCCTTTTATTGATGGGGCTTTAAAAATTGTTATTCACACTCAGACCTATTATTTTGTCTTTTTTATGGTTTCTTCCTTTACTTTTAAGTTATTAATGCCTAAAATTTATTGAATGCTTGCCATGAGTTGGATTCTCTGCTAAGTACTCTACAATTTAATTTGTTTAATAATATATATAAAAAATGTAATTATAGATACATAGACATATTCATACACATACATAAGGCTATATCATATATAGTTATGTTGATCATATCATCCTTATTTTACAGATTAGGAAACTGAAAGTTGGTAAAAGTGACAGCACTGAAGTTTGAATCATGTCTACCAAACTGAGAGCTCTTGTTAAACACTATGGTGTTTTCTCTGTTTTAAACAAATCATATATTAACACATTAATTACTGCTTTAAAATATTAATTTCTAATTTACAGAAAAGTTGCAAAAATTGTGCAAAGAATTCTCATACCCCTCACCAGATTTCTCAATATTTTACTTTTTATCACACAGCCTTTATCAATCTCTTATTTTCCCTTTATATATATATATATATAAACACACATACCCATACAAGTACTTATTTTTTTCTGTATCAATTGAGAATAAATTGTACATGTAATACCCTCTTACCCCTAAGTACTTTATTTCCTAAGAGGTAAAGTCACTGTGTTAGATAACCACAGGGCACCCATTAAAATCGGGAAGTTAGCATTAATATAATACCATCATCTAATCCAAAGACCCCACTCACATTTCACAAATTATCCCAATAATGTTCCTTCTAAAAAAAAAATTCTTTTGCCCTAATTCCCAGTCGAGGATCATGTGTTGCATTTAGTTGTCTTGTCACTTTAATGTTTTTAAATGTAGAACTGTTCTTTTAGTGTTTGCTTGTCTTTCATGACCTTGGCATTTTTAAAGAATACAGGCAAATTATTTTTTAGAATACTCTTCAATTTAGATTTGTTTGATATTTGCTCATGATGATTCAGGTTTTTCATTTTTGTAGGGAATAACATAGAAGTCGTGCTGTTTCTGTCTCACTGTACCATGTCAAGGGGGTACACAATGTTGCCTGTCCTGTTACTAGTGGTGTTAACTTTGAACATTGGGTTACAGTGTTGTCTTCCAGTTTTCTTCATTATAAAATTAGAATTTTATTTATAATTAATAAGTATTTGGTGAAGAAATACATTGAAACTATATAAATATCCTGTTCTTCAACAGAGTTTCACCTACTTGTTTTAGTTCATTGATGCCTTTTCTGGAATTGGTCTTTACTGTGACAGCTGCCAAATGGTGATGTTTTTTAAGATATTTATTAGTTTACATTCTACTGTAAAGAAGAACTTGCTTTTTTTCTCCATTTATTTATTTTTAATTGTATTATTTTGGTATACACTCATAGATTTCTATTTTGTTCAGTGTATCATATCAATATTTGGAGGGCTGGACAGTGGCTTACTTGGGAGAGCATATGGTGCTGATAGCACCAAGGTCAAGGGTTCAGATCCCCATACTGGCCAGCTGCAAAAAACAAAACATTTGGTATAATTTCTTTGCAAAAGGCCAAAGAGTAAGTATTTTAGGCTTAGGGAGCCAAAAGTTTTCTGTTGCAAGTAGTTAGCTCTGCCATTATATTGCAGAAATAAGCACAGATAGTATGTAAATGAATGGCTGTGGCTTGTTCCAATGAAGCTTACAGATGGCATGATTGATTTAGCCCAAAGGCTGTAGTTGGTCTATTCTCTCGATTGTATGATTATTCATTTTGAAGCTCAAGTTGTTCCAGATTTGACCAGTAAGACCCTTCACATGGATTCTTGAGTCTCTATGACAAATGTCCATTTTTTTTAGTACTTCCATACTTTCTGGCACAAGATGTTCTTGCTTCATCCTATACTCTCCTTTTCCAGCCCTGGAATCAGCTATTTCGATAAGGGGCCCTGATTTGCTTGGTGGATATGTTTTTAGAAACTAAGATGTAAACCAAAATCGGGGTGTTAGGTGTGCTTATTGCTCTTCAAATGTCATTATGTCCAGATATTCTTAGTGGACATATCTAGGAAATATGTTTATATATGTATATGTATACATAGATGTGTATATATCTAAACTGATCTATCTGTATTAAAACAAATAAGTTCACACTGATACCTTCAATTCCACTTCAAAACCACATCACTCAATCTAGCCTCAAACTTTGTTTGCAGCTTTCTTGTTCAATATTGAGAAATCTGGCTCCCAGTATCTTTAATGTGTTTATATATTTTTTTATTCCACTTTATGAAACTGATGTTTTGTCCCAACACCATCACTTTCTCAGCTTTAACGTTGCCAGTTGTCTCCAACCATCTCCTCAGCTTGGACCATTCTCTGAATGGTCCTTGTTGCCTCCTCAGCTCCAATTGTTTATTTGGAGCTCACCACCCTATCAGCCTATATTATCTCCTTGGCCCTCACCTTGAAGGTCCTGCCAGACTCGGGTGCCTCCTTGGCTCTGTCAGCCACTGGGTTTCTCCCTGGCTTCTGCTGCTTCCTTGGGATCCTTACCTCCAATGTCCCACTGGCTCTGGCTATCTCAAGGAGAGAGAGTGGAAAAGAACCAATAAATATATTTCAGAGAAAAGTGGCAGAAAAGTAAAGGAACATTTCTTTTCCTTTATTGTTTATTTTATTATTTTACTTTAATGTTTTAATCCTTCTGAAATTAATTTTATTATTCAGTGGAGTGTGAAGTTCTGACTTGAAGTATATAGTTTTCTAAATAACAACTTCTTAAAGTACCATTTTGAATTAAAATGCTTTCTTTTAAGGACTGTCTAAAGATAATTTATACTGCACTAGCTTTCATAGAACTGTTATTCATGTATGGGCATTTACCTTGAGAAGTAGGATCTTTTTGCTTTGACACTTTTGTCTGTTAAATTATTATTATTATGATTTCCTGCAAAAACATTAATATATATTAAAAATATCATAGTAATACATGTTCTTGGTAGTAGACAGTGTTACTAGTCTCATATATCTTTCAACCTCTCTTTCTCTGCTCAAACACAAAGTTACCCATGCATACACATAGAGTTTAAAATTACAGATGTGTCAAAGATTTATTTTGAATATGTCTTAAATACAAAGTGGTATAATTATACATATAAATATAAATAAAAATATATATACACATATATTAGGGTATTTAAAAGTTTGTGGAAAAATCTAATTAAAAGGTAATGTGAATCTTTTCATGGATGTTTTGAAGACTCCTGGTATGTAAAATGAACCTTATTTAAAATTCACCAAGCTTAAGAAATATGTGTACCCATCAGTGGTCACATCTCCTTTCCATTTGCTGCCATAGAGATAACCCCATCCTAAATTTAATGTTTACTATTCCTTTTCTTTACATGGATGCTTCTTATTTTTTAATATGCTTTATTCTTTTGGTATTTACATGTATATTTCTAAATAGTTTATTGTTTAGCTTCTGTGTTGTACATAAACAGTATAATTTGTGATTGTTTTCTCACTCAATTTCATATTTGTTAGATAAATATATTTGTATTTCTTTTGCAAAAAATGGATTAGTATATACTCACACACAACACAGATGTGTATATATTTCTCTGGAACATGCTGTTTCCATTGTGCAATATGTGACAACAGTAATTATAGCTAACTTACTAATTTACTGAGTGCTTACAATTAAAATGGGACAGGCACTATTCTAATCCCTTTACATATGCTGATCCATTTAATCCTCACAAAATATCCTATGACATAAGCAATATTATTATTCTTATTTTAACAATAAAGAAAAAAAGTAACCCGAGGCCCAGAGATATTATAATACTTGTCCAATTTTATGAAGTATGGCAAAAATTTAAATAAAAGTGAGGAAAATATTATTAAGATAATGTCTGTCTCTACTGGGAAGGAGTGGGGAATGATGTCATGAGGAAGGAGAATGTGGCACAGAGCTGAGGGCTGGAGTAGGGTGAGGGCTTTAGCATGCTAGACACGCTGGGGACACAGCCAGTTGTTAAATATTCAGGAAGTTTATGAACTGGTTGTTAAACCATCGGCAGCTTGAGCTCAAAATCAGTCATGGTGGGAGTATTTACACAACAAAAATCAGAAAAGTGTAAATGCTGTAGATCAGGACCTCATCCCTCTACCCCTGCAGCTCATTTACCAGTACACCAATGGTTGATGGCTTTACCTGCCAGACTACTGTCAGTGCTCAATTTCTTGACCTGAACAGTGGTTATACAGGTGTTCATTTTATAAAATTTCATTAAGTTGTACATTTATGTTTTCCGTATGTGTGCTATATTTTACAGTGAAAGATGTTTTTGAAAAAGTAACACCAAGTATTGATAAGGAGGGAAAGGGAACTTTGTGCACTACTGGTAGGATTGGGACAAAAAATGTGGAGAGCAGCCTGGGATATAGGGAGCACATTTCTTTGTAAATAATAGGTAGAATGGATTGTTTGGGTGAGAATTTGCTCACAGATATAATCATCTGCATATAAATATTTGTTGAGTGAATATGTAGATGTTATAAATTATACATGATGGGATTGTGCTTTTAAAACTTATAAGGCACCCATATAAGTTCTGGTTGCTTCAAGAAAGGCTTAATGTTAAAGGTTTTTCATGGGTCTAGATACATTTCTTAAAAGTATTGTATGCATATATCACTTCATATTCTCATTTTTATTGATAATTAGGTATTTTACAATTAATTACTTTAAAATTTAGACATAATTATGGAACTGATATGTACATTTTAACTTTTTGTACTCATTTTCATTTATTGTCTCAGCAAGCATTTGCGTGCTCACTGTAAATATGTATTTTGTATACAAGTGACATAAAAGAAAAAAGCTGCAAAACAAATAATTACAAGAAAATATAATCCCCCTTTTTCTATGCTTTATAATGTGTGGAGTAAAAATGGAGAGGGGTCTTTGAATGAAGACAAATTTGAGGATGGAAGAAATATTGGGAAACCTTTAATAAAAACAGGAAAGAGTATCTGTGTAATACTTGGTGATCATACATTTATCAATGTGTGGTAATATATTGTAATTTTAAAAAATTTTCTTCTTTCCCCCAAATCTGACATTCAGTGAATAAGTTAATTTCCAAAAATTTAAAAATTAATTTTGGATGCTATGATATTATTGAAATGTGCCACATTAATACTAATAAATATCATAATTTTAGTAAATATAATTATTAAGTACTTCCATAGTATCACAACATAATTACATTAAGCTTTTTTAATATCATGGGGTTTTTTTTCTTTTCTTTTTTTTGTCTTATTATAGATGGTCCCCGGCCATCACAAAAAGAAATTATATCACTACGAGCATTTATGCTACTTTTTCTGAAACAGCTCATACTAAAGGTAAAATAAACTTATATAATTCAGAATTGCAGTATATTAGGTGAAAAGGAATTTTTGGTATAGTTTAAAATCGTTATTGTTTAATTAGCAATAACTGTCTTTAATTCATGAATTGCTTTCAAAATTCTGTAAAACTTTGTATTAACTTTTGTTGAACTTAACTTTTGGTTAAATGCCTTTTGAGATCCTCCATGTCAAAGGATGTGGCAGAAATAGACAAGGAACATATGAATAAGAATTGAGTATAAAGATTTTATTCTAGAAAATGGTCTATGTTCCAGGTTAAGAAGGCTTAAATAACATTTTATTGCAGTAGGATCTTTTAAAGATTAAGATGAAGACAAAAGGGAAAATGAAGGTGAAACTGTGAGATAATACACAAAAATTGATACTGTAAAGCCTGGCAATTGTACTGTTCTAAGGAAAGAGTAAGTGAATAGAAACTAGTAATATGAATATAGTTGAATGATCAAAATATGCTAACTTGTAATAGTGAAGTCAGTTAAATATTAACTAAAAAATGATATAATTTTTAAATATTTACTTGTTTAACTTGAAATGATATCTGTGAATTATGAGGTACCTGGAGATTTAAATTAAAACATCACTACTTTTAAGTTGTTATTTTCTTTTAAATGGTCATTTTGATGCCTTTCTTTAAATAACATTGTAATTTTAGATTTAAATTAAGTAATAAAATATTTTTTTAAAAATTAGGACCGAGGTGTCAAGGAAGATGAACTTCAGAGTATATTAAATTACTTACTTACAATGCATGAGGTAGGATATGTTATGGGTTTTCTATTTAATTATTTCATTTGAAGCTTTAGAATAAAATTTTAACCACATAAATATTGGTGATTCTTATTATGCAGGATGAAAATATTCATGATGTGTTACAGTTACTAGTGGCTTTAATGTCAGAACACCCAGCCTCAATGATACCAGCATTTGATCAAAGAAATGGAATAAGGTATGATTATATTAGTATTATTGTCAGAACTTAATGGAGCATAGTTGTACGTCCTAGAATAACCCTGTTCCATCAATGTTCGAATAAATATAGGAAAATCTTACACATAAGAAGGTAATAAGTGGAGAAAGCTGCTATTAATCCTCTAATACTCAAAGAAACTGATGAAGTGTATAGCAAATGGTCGCAGGAATCAAGAAGAGTAATTAAAATGTTGTTACTATAGTAAATACATTTCATATAGTGGGAAGAGCAATTTTTTGCAAGAAGACAAAATAAAGCATAATATGTTTCAGCAAAAGAGGATACCAGAAAATTATATGATATTAGGCTGAAGAGATAGTGACCAGATTTTGAAGGTCCATATAACAGTAATAAGTTTGGATTTTTTTTTTTTCTTTCAGTGAATGAAAATTTAAGAATATTGAATAGGGAAATGATGGGCTCAGATTGCCATTTTGTTAGATTTACAATCAGAAGTGTGGAACGTGAGTTGGAGAAGGACGAAACTGATGTACTGAGATCAGAGATATTATTTTATTCATTAGTAAGAGATATAATGACCTAAGACAATGGCGGTGTAATGGAAATAATAAAGATGAAAGATGTCTTAGAACAAGCAGCCCAAACCAAACCAAAATAATTTGAAAATTAACTTTAGTTATGGTGATCATAAAGTAACTCTGTTTATAGGTGAAACACAGTTTTTTGATTAGTATTCTTATGAATTTACATGTATAATTTAGCCCTTAGGGATTTTTCCTTTTTTAATTTTCTAGAGTTTGAGTTAGTGGAATGACCAGGAAATCTAGGTAATGCCATTTATAACTCAATAAACTTCCTAAATAAAGATTTAGGGTGAAAAAGTTTATAAAAAGAGTTTGGAAATAATATATCAATGACTGTCAAGGTTTTTTTTTGTTTGTTTTTTTAAGTGCTTCTGGTTAGCCATTTATATTGGCAAATTACTCTCTAGCCTTGAAGAACTCCTTTTCAAATCACAGAAGCAATCACTTCATTTCTATATGGATATCTAATTTGTGATATCACTATAACCTTTGAGTTTGTAACCCATACAGCTGCTAATCTATTTGAAGAATATTAAACATTTAATGATTAACGACTATGATTATTTTCTTACTGTGAGGTTGAACCATATGAAACTGTTGATAATGTAACTGTGTACCAAATAATGGCAATTTCATATGGTTTGACATAATATAATACTATTATACTCATTCTTCTAACATTATATTTAGTTTGACTACTTATTATCCTTGACTTTAGATCCTGGTTTGTTTAATATATTACTTGATCAATTGAGTGAACCAACTGAAAATATCCTCATTACTGTTGTGCAAAATACCAAACTTAGGTTCTCTAATATGATGAAATGCAGAGCAGAAATAGAACTCTAAATTATTTTGAAACATTGAAAATATGATCCTGCAAAGAAGAGTGCTATTTGATTATATCTTTACGATTGAAATAGTGTTTTGAATGTATAGGATGAAAGGATTGAATAAGCACAATAAATACAAAGGCCTTGTTTCTCATGGTTGACCTCCAGGTGAACATGTTAGATTTTACCAGTATGTTAAAAACAATCACAAAGATGGAAAATGGTCTTCTTCTTTGCTACTTCGATGTTTCCACTTCAGAAAATGTGGAGAAAGTATAAAGAATAGTATAAAGCATGGAAAAATAGGCTTTTTAGATAGAATAATATTGAAAATGCTTAAAGCATTACAAATCTGTATTGTTGAAAGTAGAAACTAAAGGGTAATAGTTGTAAATGAAATTTTGGGGGAGGGGAATTCTGGTTAGTTGTAATTCATACGCACTAAAAACTAAACAAAAAGAATGAATTTAATTCTGGTGTCATTTTAACTGAATTTAAGGAAGCCCTTGTGATAATAAATAATGAACTGCACAGCTAAAAGTTTGATATTTTTATATGTGGAAATCTTCAAAGAAAAGGATAGATAACTACCTGTCCTACATAGCTTAGACCATTTTCTGACTAAATATAGTGAACTTGAGCAGATGAATTAGATTATTAATTAGTAATATCTTATTATACGAGTAAACACTCATTAACTGGTTTGTCAGTAACTTTCCTACTCACACTGTATCAGTCCTATGCGTGTAAATGTGTGATGGTCCTAGACATTTTCATATTTCAATGTTAACCATAACATCTCTTGATTCAGGGTGGGGTCTTATACCTCTTTTCCCTTATACTCAAAGTTATTCCTAAAAAATAGGAATTTTGTGGGAGCTCCCAATTCTGTTTTCTGAGTATAGGCACATTTTCAGGCTGTGAGCTTTTTACTTTGGTTCTCAAGATTATTTCTCCTGTTGAGTGTTCTTTCTTATGACTTCCTGAATCTTTCTTTTTTTCACATGTACGAATTTCCTATTCCCAAACTTGTCTTTTTTCATTATTGATTTTGGTCCCTAAAAGTTCTGAAAATAGATTTCAATGTAAACACATACACATTTAGGAGTGTGGGATTTGAAAAAAATCATCTTATAAGGGAAATAATCACTCTACAGTTTACTTTTTCTCATAGTCTATTCTTCAATAGGTCATATGCAGAAAAAGAAAAAGAAAAAAGGAAACAATATCAACAATATCCTTTTAAAAAATAGAATAAGCTATTGGTAAAAGTAAAATAAATGACATTAATTTTAAGCTGTTTGTTTCTCTTTATAAATGTCACTGAAATTATATGGAAATTATATTGCATCTTCTATTACCAGCTCTTTTTGTTCAGCCTAGATTATGTCACCTTCAAAATATACGATGATATTTCATTTTTTAGAAAAAGATATTTAATACAATAAAGCAGCCCTTAATTTATAGAATTGCTCTTGCTACTGCCTCCCACCCCCAAAGAACCTTCTTAAATTCTAGAATTAGTTGCAAAAGTATATAGTCATCATTGCCACCTTTTACCTCATGGAAAAAATTCCTATTTAAAAAAATATAAAGACGGGATAAAATTTCCAAAACACCTGTAAAAATTATAATGAATATGACCGTGCTTTTATATACTTTTGGAAGTACTGTATAGGTTAGGTATGTATAAGTAGAGGCTCTTTGGCTCCAACTAACAAAAAGTCTCTCAAAATATTTTAAGTAAAAATTGAATAATATGTTTGTTGTAAAAATCTCATTAGAGTAGGAACCAGGAATTGCAAAGCTATTGGGAAGCAGGTTTGCTCTCTCTGCTGCTTTCTGTATGACTACTTCATTCTTTCTTCTGTATGTTGACAAGTCTCTCTGAACAGAAACAGAACATTGCTGTCTTAGTTTGTTTTAAATCATTTTGTAATTCAAGAGCCCAGCAAAGACGAGATATTATTTCTCAAACCTCATTCCAAGTTCTCAGAAAGGAAAAATAATTGGCAGGTGTCTGCTTATAGTCCACTTAGCCATGACCAAGAAAACAAGGTCATCAAGTTCAAATGGGGGCAATTCTAAGAGAGGAGAAAATGTGGCTTAACTAAGCAGGTATCTTAAAATTGAAAATTTTCGTTCAATGTGCTTTGAGGCCGTACTTATGAACAAACAATCACATTGCCCTTTGAGTATATATTTGAATGCCAAGCTTAAAGAAAAATTAATTAAAGATGCTAATTTTGAACTTTTCCTAATAATTATAAATCCTGGGATTTATTTTATATGTTTATAATTTATTGCAAAATATACAATGTTTTTATTTTAATATTATTTAATACTTAAAAGATTATTTATTTTTAGGGTGATCTACAAATTATTGGCTTCTAAAAGTGAAAGTATTTGGGTTCAAGCTCTGAAGGTTCTAGGATACTTTCTGAAGCATTTAGGTCACAAGTAAGTTGATGTTTTTCATAATGAATTACAGAAATTTCTACTGAAATTGTGTTTTGATGAGTTTTGTACTAATGTAGCATATGAAATTTGATGGAAAAATCTAACAGTGGAAAATAATACCTTTCTGCAGTAAAAATTATAAACATGCTTTATGAAGTAATGTTTTATTAGTAGTAGATTATGGAACAAGATCACAATCTAAGAAATATTAAGTTTATTTCTATTTTCTTCCTGAAAATATTGTTCATTTTAAGGATACAATAAAATATTTTGTCAAAATAAAATAAAGCACATATGGATATGATTTCAATGACAATTTTTTTGTCAAAGGGAAGGTTTCTCTGAGAGCTGACCTTATGTTTATATGCTGATTTAATATTTCATTATTAGTTTATATTCTTTTCTTTCTTTCTTTTTTTTTTTTTTCTTTTTGTCTTTTTTTGTGACTGGTAATGGGATTGCAACCCACGGTGTCGTGCCCGCACCGCGACCGGCAACAGGATCGCAACCCTCGGTGTTGCGCCTGCACCACGCTCAACCAGTGAGCGGACTGGTCTCTATATGGGATCCGAACCCTCGGTGGGAGCGCCGCCGCACTCCCAAGCGCCGCCCTCTACTGAGTGCGCCACCGGGCCGGCCCTATATTCTTTTCTAATAATGAGGCTTGTTGATTACTTTGTGACTTGAAGATCCTAGAATACTTTATTTCTTCCCCCTAATCCAGAATTTAGATACATTAAAAAAAAAAAACATTTTTTCTATAAGTAATGACTGCTGATTTAATGATTGAAGTTCATACTATGTTGTCTAGTGCATTAATATTCTTTAAAAAATTTATTTCCTGTATAAATGAACCTGAGGAAGTAGTACTATCATTTAAGTATTGCTAGATGGGGTTCCTCTCAGAGCCCCACTGTTGCCAATTCTTTCTGGCATTTAAATTTACAAAGAGTTTTGTGGTAACATTGATGAAAACTGCACAAAGTTCAGATGAGACGTATCTAACATGCTGGATAGTTTAGAAGTGTAGATATTTTTTTTTCCATTTTGGTACTAAGTCAACAGTTAAGTCAGGGAGAACAAAGGCATTGTAGTAGTAGGGATTAGTTCGAATAAAGTCAGGATTGTAGAAAAATGTAATAGAATACTGGGAGTGAGAAGCATATGCACTTTTAATATTGAAAGATAAGCACTGCTCATTTAACTATAGCAAGTAAAAGAAATTGACTCAGAGAAAATTAAAGGATCATAGTCTCAGATGCAACCTATTAAAAAATGTCAAGAAAACACGTCTAAAAACATAGAAAAATTAAAAAAATAAAAAATAGAAAAAGATGAATACTCACAGATAGTACAAAATTAAAAGTAACAAGAAATTTCTTGTGTAAATATGGTTAAGGTATTCTCTTTCTACCTTTCTTCCTGTAAAATTTATAAGTAATGCAACCATCTTATAAATTTATAAGAAAATGGAAAATTTATAAGCAAATGCAAATAAAATCTCCCACTAACACAATTGTTCGCCAAATTAGAAGATGGGTAACAACTCATGAATACTGAGGTATCAGTATCAGCTGCTTAAAGCTGCTAAGATTGGGTAAAAGCTGTGAAGGATAAAGAAAAGAGAAAATATAAAAAGAATGGTGAGAGGGTTCCGTGATAGCAAATCTAACAAAGCATCAGTGAAAGTACACTTTCTGAAGATGAAAGGCTCACTGAAGGTGCAAAAATAGATCCTTTGTCTGAAATAATAGATACACATATATCATGGCTGATAGCAGAATTCTTTTTGAATCAAATTGGTTTCAGAGAAACAGAAAATGCATAACAGAGTTGTACAGATAAGCCATATTTGTAGGAGGCAGTCTGTTTCTGTGGCTGTAGAGAGACAGTTTTTGGATTATAAAATAGAAGGATTACCCTTGGCCCTTCTCTTTCACACACGTGTGGAAATCTCTTGCAAATGATTGGTCCAGTCCAGTAAAATTTGACTCAAAAGAATTGACACAGCATCCATGCATAAAATAAAAAACTGGAAAAAATAAGCAAAACCAACCAGCAAATGAAGAATACTTACCAGAAAAACTTTGCTATGGAACATGTATTAATTGTGGTTAAATTTTTAGCATAAGTTACAAAAGTAAGAAGTAATTGAATTGCTTCTGAGGAAGGACCACCACTAAACAGAATTTCAAGAAGTTGGAAGAAATGGTAGTATAACATGGAAGTGTTGAATCATGAGCTACCAAAACTTTGGAAAAATATTGGAGGAAAATATCTATCACACAAATAAAAATTAAATTGGAAAGCTGAAACAAAGATAAAATCTGTGTCTAGCATAGTAAGATACACAGAAGATGAAAGTGAAATCAAAACCAATAACACGTACAGATGAAAATATAAGTGTTTAGAAGGATTGGAAAGAAAATGATTGATGCAGGAGGTAAAGAAATTCCAACAGTGGCATAAATGGAGTTTCAAGATAAGACAAGCAAAACAATGGAACAAAACAAATATTTAAAGCTATAATTTAGTGACGTCCTAATATAAGATTTTGCCATCCTTATTTAAAGGATATTGTGTACCAGGGAAGATTGACCTGGAATGGTCAGCACGAAGGTGTATTATTGGACTTATTTAAGAATCCTTTGTATAGCAGTGTGCAAATAAGGGGGAAAAAATGAGTCTGGCCTTAGAGTTGTCTAAAACAACCTTCAATATAGAAAACTTTAGAGCAACAACCATAAGATACTCAAATGAAGAAAGTGGGAGCCAAACTTTCCTTTAAGTAAAAGGGGGGGTTGCCAAATAATTTTTAACCATACAGGCAGTTGTTTTGGTGAGTAATTCTTGAGAAAATTTCTGGGGACAAAGTTCAGCCAATTAGGAATGTTTGGAGAAACTACAGCTAAGGACTGCTGGTGAACACTGAATAAATGAAACAGTAAAACTAAGACTAAAATAAATGTTTGAATTAGTGTGACAGACCAGAAATTACTTTTTATATGCTCTAATAATGCAGAAAAGATACAACTATAATGAATTGGAAGAGGACTGAGGAAAGAAGGAAAGTAGAGTAAGACCAAAAAGTCAAAGGAATTGCATGTAAGGTGACAAATGAAATATTAGAAATATAGTTCTATTGAATAAAATCTGATGGTGCAGAAGAGAGGAAAAATTGAGAGTAATTGCTGACTTTATGAGGATTACTTATTATTTTACAGTTACAAAGATAAACAGTTCAATAAAACTATGAAGCTTTCCAAATATGAAAGCTCTGTATGTATAAGACTAAAAACATATAATGGAACTCTTAAAAAATCTGTTAAGTTCAATAAGCATAACATAAAATATGACATATCCCAAACTAGACATATCTGTCAAAAAATAAATGCAAAAGCTTTTATAAATCACCAATTATAAGAAAAAAATTACAATTGATGACAATAAAACTTAGTTCTATATGTAGGAAACATACCAAAAAACCAAAGTGATGGCTAAAGGTATACCACATAAATGCAGACATACAACAGAAGAAGCAAGAATCATGATCTTAATATGGGGCAAATTGGAAGCTGGAGGCATAACACTACCTGACTTTGAACTATACTACAAAGATATAATAACCAAGACAGTATTGTACTGGCATAAAAACAGACACACTGATCAATGGAATAGAATAGAGAATCCAGAAATCAACCCACACACCTACAGCCATCTGATCTTTGACAAAGGCACTAAGCCTATACACTGGGGAAGAGACTGCCTCTTCAGCAAATGGTGCTGGGATAACTGGATATCCATATGCAGGAGAATGAAACTAGACCCATACCTTTCACCATACACTAAAGTCAACTCAAAATGGATTAAAGAATTAAATATACACCCTGAAACAATAAAACTTCTTAAAGAAAACATAGGAGAGACACTTCAGGAAATAGGTCTGGACACAGACTTCATGAATAAGACCCCAAAAGCACAGGCAACCAAAGGAAAAATAAACAAATGGGATTATATCAAACTAAAGACCTTCTAACCAGCAAAAGAAACAATGAACATAGTTAAAAGACAACCAACAGAGTGGGAGAAAATATTTGCAAAATATACATCCGACAAAGGATTAATACTTAGAACATACAAGGAACTCAAACAACTTTACAAGAAAAAAACAAGCAACTCAATTAACAAATGGGCAAAAGAGCTAAATAGGCATTTCTCTAAGGAAGATATACGAATGGCCAACAGACACATGAAAAAATGCTCAACATCACTCAGCATTCGGAAAATGCAAATCAAAACCACACTGAAATACCATCTCACCCCAGTTAGGATGGCTAAAATCCAAAAGACTCTGAACGATAAATGCTGGCGAGGTTGCAGAGGTAAAGGAACTCTCATACATTGTTGGTGGGACTGCAAAATGGTGCAGCCTCTATGAAAAGTGGTTTGGAGGTTCGTCAAACAATTACAGATAGATCTACCATATGACCCAGCTATCCCACTGCTGGGAATATACCCAATTGATACGACAAGCATACAGAAAGGACATTGCTAAGGTTTCGTTAATTGGCCACAATAATCAACCACATTGTATATTGACAAAATAAAATAAAATATTTTAAAAAATAATAAATAAGTAATAATGTATCACACGAACACACACACACACACACACACACACACACACACACACACACACACACAAAGTCCCATCTGTGAAATCAATACAAGTTATATACTTCCAAGATACAAAGGTGAGACAAACATAGGGAACATATTCCCATTCCAAAAGGGAGAAAAAAAAAATACAAGCCAAAAAAGCAATAAACATTAGATAAGGAAGTATACTTTATAATGCTAAAGGTTGAAACATTCATAAAACAGAAGTTACAGGAGAAGTAAACAATCACTTGTAGTTTAAAACCTTAAAACAAACTTTAATTTACCTGTTTCAGCCTACAGAAAGTCAAAAGAGAAAATAATCTAAAAAATGAGGTAAA